GCATGCATACAAACAGTTAATATGCTTATTTGAAAAAAAAAAAAAATGCTTTTCTGTACATTTAAGCAGATCCTGGGAGGATGTGTGCCATGCAAGCCTCTGATAGCATTTTCTTTGAGTCATCTTTTTTTACATAAGTATTCAAGTGGTCTCTTTTTAAAATGTGTTGTTTTCAACTAAGCATCAGCTGTAATAAATCACTCTGCTAGAGGCCTTGGAGGGTACAAACAGCAAGCAGACTAGGCTGTAGTCTAAGGAGACAACGGTCTGGTAGAAGAAAGATGTGAGAACACAGGTAAGACTGATGCCAGGCGGGGACGGAGGCATCACGAGAGATCTAGGGGAGGAAGGAGAGGTTTTCCTCCTGGAGGACCCAGGATGCTGTAGAGGAAACGGCCTGGGCCTTTCCCTAGTTCACGTCGATCAACTTTCCTTAGCGGGGCATCAAAAGAGTTTTATTTAAATTGTGTCTATTTAAAATGTACGATATAATGCTTTGATATACGAGGGTACTTCAGCGAGTTAGTGGACGATGGGAGTAAAAGATAATGCAAATCCTCGCGCGAACGTTCTGAAGGGCCCTCGCACGTACACGCAGTGCCGTGGTCACTAAGGCCACAAGTTAGCACGTCCCGCTCCTCCCACAGCCACTTTTTAAACTTGTGATGATAACGCCTAACATGTGCTCTCTCAGCAATGCCAAGTAGACACTAACATTGTTACCAAGTACAGTTCCGCTGCTGGGCATCTGGACCTTAGAACTGCCCCGTCCTGGGACTGCTGCTTTGTACCCCCCACCAGCATCTGGCTCTGGTTCCAGGACTCAACTCTCAGATTCCACACGTAAGTGAGAGCGTGCAGTTTTCCTCTTGTTCTCTCTGGATTACTTCACTTAACACAATGTTCTCCAGATCCATTCACATCGTCACAAATGCCAGGATTACCGTTTTTTAAGGCTGAACAGTATTCCGCCGTGCGTCTGCACCGCGTTTTCTTTATCCGCTCACCCACTGCTGACACAGGTGGATCCGTCCCTCGGCTGCGAGTGGCCCCGCAGTGGACCTGGGCCACAGGTGTCTCTCACAGGTGCTGTTTTGTTTCCTCAGGTGTATACCCAGAAGCGAGGCTGCTGCATCACAGGGTGGTTCTGTCTTTAGTCTTTCTGAGGAGCCTCCGTTCTGCTCTCCGCAGTCAGGTGTCAGTCCGCATCCCCACCCGCCATGCTCAGGGCTCCCTTCCTCAACCCCTTTGCCAACACTTGCTCTCTCTTGTCTTTTTGATAATAGCCGTTCTAGCAGATGGCGCTAGAATGAGGTGTCACCTCACTGTGGCTTTGATTTGCATTTCCCTGCTGGTTCGTGGTGTGGAGCACCTTTCCATATACCTGTTGACCGTTTGTACGTCTTCTTTGGAAAAATGTCTACTCAGGTCCTTTGCCCATTTTTCAGTTAGTTTATTAGGTTTTGTTTGCTAGTTAAATATTTAATACTCAAAAGGACTCTGAATGAAGAGACCTTATGTTTCTTTCCATCTGCTTTAACTACCTTTACTATAAAACTTGGACAGAGCTGACATTTTTCAGCACTTACGGGTGATTTGATGGATGGATTGGGGATAATGTATCAATGGGTGTATTAGTTTGCTAGGGCTGCTGTAGCAAAGCACCAGAAACTGGGTGGCTTAAAGCAACAGAAATATATCATCACAGTTCTGGAGGCTGGAAGTTCAAAATCAAGGTGTGGGCAAGGCCGTGCTCTCTCCGAAGCCTCCAGGAAAGGTCTTTCCTGGCTCCTCTGGCTTCACATGGCTCCTCCTCCGTGTCTGTGCCTTCACACGGTGCTTCCCCCTCCAAAGGACACTGGTCAAGTCGGACTCACTTTAACTCAATTGCATTGCAAGGATTCTCTTTCCAGATAAGGTCATATTCACAGGTACCAGGGGTTAGGACTCTGGGGGAGGACACAGTTTAAGCCATAACAGTAGTCAGTAAACTTACCCCATTGGATCAGATAACAGCCAGAACATGCATTTCGTGTCACTTGGGTCAACTGTCTGATTTAGTTCACTTTCATTTTTCCACTTGCTCGCTGCTCAATAACTACAGGAGATCCCATTCCAAGTTACCCTGGCTGTAGCTGTCATCCAGGTGTCCCGGACGATGTGACCATTGAGTGAATTAAGATGGGATGGGCTTCCAGGGATTGGCGGCAAGCAGGTTTTAGCCACAGTGTCTGGTGATGGCTGAGAACCACTGGGCTGACTGTTGCACTCGTGCAGCACACAGCCCGGGGAAAGCAGGAATGAGAAGCACCAGAAGTAGCCATCATGCCCTCGCCTGCCAGGCATGTGGCGTCACGATATTCACAGCACCCCCAGCCTCTGAGGTGGGCTTGCAGGCGTGCTGCTGGTGCATCTGGGGAGAAGCTCATGGGAAGGGGAGTTTCAAATTCTTCTCCAAAGCGCAACACCAGTAGTTTACACTTGGGGTCTGATACTTAAGGCTCATTTTTAATCCATGTTGGCAGCTTTGTTTTGATCCAACGATGGAGGAACTTGCTTCCTGTCTGGGAAAATAATCCACATAACCCTGAGAACCGAGGGAGTGGTGGGCGGGAATGCAGGACACCACAGGTGCACCCAGCAACATATGCCACCCCTGCTTGTGGCGGGGACGTTCAGTCCTCCCCAGAATCTCCAGCCAAATGTCTGACACATAGTAGGTATTTAATTAGTGTGTCGAATAAGTGAGAAGACCGTAAATGTTGTGTTCTCTGGTACGTAATCAAACAGAAAGTGCTGGAAATTGCCATTTCTGGAATTCAGCAGTACAGATCTTTAATTTCATGACTGCTCATTCCAGTGGACAACACTAAGGTCAAATAGGGATGGTGGGTGGTTCTTGACTTCCTAGAAGAGAAAGTTTTAGATTTCTCAAAGACGTGCCAACAAATAGCACCTTCCCTGTGTTAAGTATCACCCTGCGTTTCACCTGTAAACGAGGACTGTGGCAAGGAAGAAGAAAAAACATCTCCCTGTTTAGAAATTGAACCTTATTGACTAGGATTTTTACTAATATTCTGTTTTCCCACCAAAACCCCAATTAAATTTTTTTCGGTAGGCTGGTCAGGCACTGAAGCTGAAGGCAGGAAATACACGGTGAGATACACCGTCTACCTCCGGGGCTGGGTTGCTTTGCACTGGTTCAGAAGAACACGAGATGATGCCAGCAGATCCATGAACGCTTGTGACACTGGTGCCCAACTGGGCTGCCGGTTTGATGTAGTAGATTCTTCTCTCTGCTTTTATGCACAGTGACCTAGAAAGAAATATTATTCTCCAGGGTGCCTTTGGGATTGTTTGCTTAAATTAAGTTCCATTTGGATTTAATCTTAACCAAGTCTTCAGAGAGCCAGGCAGGCCCCCAGTGATGGGAACCTGTGGGCGGGGCTGCCGGAGAGAAACGCCCTCTGTAAATGAGGGGCTTCTAATGTCATGCTGGGGCGGCCCGCGCGCAGTGCGAGATGATGACTTTATGGCCTGGATCATTGTGTTTTTATTACGCTCATAAAATCTGTGTTACTCCTCATTTTCGTAATGGCTTCAACGAGCTTTTCCACCTTCCAGAGACACGTTAAACTGCGATGCCACAGCAGCGCCGACTTGGCAGGGCGCATTCAAAGGCCAGGAGAGCCTAGTGGAAAGCGTGCTTTGAATTTTCACCCTGTTGTCGGACTGGCATGAAGGCAAAAGAAAAGCGCACGGTTTAAGCAGAATTCATATGTATGGTGGGCTTTTTCGTAAATACTTCAGTAGGTTCCGTTAATTCCAATATAAGTGATATACAATGAGGTGCCTTAAGGATATTGACTATTTCTATCACGTGGGAATATAAATCAATATTAAAAGAGGAAAATATTGTGTGGTCTGATTTTTAAAATATAATTTAAAGGAGTTTAATAACAGGAACTATGATGAGAAAGCATTTTATATTTGAGATATGTGGACCTTTTAAATAACAAGATTTTAATTGGATTTTTATGTCTCTATTTAAAAGAAATAGAAGCACTCTGGATACCAAATTTACATCTAAATGCAGTTGCTTATAAATATTTCTGTGAAGTTAATGTAACCCATTGCAGGAAAAGCAGATCCCTCTTCCCTCTATAATTTAATATGCTAATAAAAGTCTGCAGATGCCACATCGGAGTACCCCAGAGAATTAATGGCTTTTAGTAGTTATGCTGTAAGTATTAATAAATAGGTTTACATCCAAAAAGTTGGGATTTGTGTTGCAAAGAAGTTGAGTTTTGAAGGACTTCCGAGTCTTTGCCATTTCTGCGTGTTTGAATGTGCACTCATTGTTTATTGTGTCTCGGGGCTGCTTCTAACATTGCTATTACGATTTATTAAGTCAGTCTTAGATTTGCTTTTATTTCAGTAGCATTGCAGTCTTTTGGTTTAAGTAAATGAAATTCTAGTAGTAAAATGTTGCTTTCTGTAACCTGCTTTGGAAAGAAACCCTTCAGAGCCTGCTTCTGATAGGATAGCAGCTTCACAAAGCAAAATGTTTCTCTAGTCGTGCAAAGTAATGACAACCACTGAAAACAAGCGTGTCTCTAACATCAGTCCGCGTCACGCGGAGAGGAGAGCGTGTGGACGCGGCGTCAGCCTGCCTACCCCTGGCCTGTGCTGCGTTGTGGAAAGTTTCCTTCCCAGATCAGCAAGTGGGGAGCCAAGCAGCTGAGCACAGAACCGAGGAGGCTTTAAGTGGCGTGGAATGAATTCACTGGGTTTTTTAAAAAATATTTCATGGAACATGCAAAATACAGGGCCAGCATATTCAGAGCCATGCAAGCAGCTGCAGAGTGAGAGTGTCTAGTGAAAACAAAATGAATTTCCTGTGGATGGGGTAGATCTGACCGTCTCTGAGTGCAGTAACTACACATGTCATGCGGTGACTAGGCAGTCATGCTGTGGCCGCGGCCTTTCTTTGTCTGCAGATGGTGTGGGAGAGCGGCTGCGTGGTCATTGTCATGCTCACGCCCCTCACGGAGAACGGCGTCCGGCAGTGCTACCACTACTGGCCTGACGAAGGCTCCAACCTGTACCACGTCTACGAGGTATGTAGACACAAGGCTCCCGCCTGGAGAGCTGGACCTGCCGCCTCCAGGGGGTGGGGGGGAGCCCTCGGACCCTGGTCCTCAGTAAAGCAGGCCCCCGAGCAGTCAGGCCATCCGCAGCCTGGCCAGTTCTCCCTCCAAGGCTGGGGACAGCCCTTGCAGGGGAGGTCGCACCTCCTGTCCTCAGAGGGTGCCAGGGCCAAGCTGCCCCTCTGTTGTCAGTGGGGGCTCAGATGCTTCAGTAAATTTCATTTTTAAAATTTTATAAATCCAAATGCTGACAGAAAAAAATATATATATATTCCTCACAGGGTGGCCTGGGTCCTGTGTAACAGGCCGTGTTGAAAAGAACCTGCCGTTATTCTACTTGCTTATCGATTCATTCGCCTGGGCCGCGTGCTCTTCCCGTGGCTCTGTTTGGAGTTTTGTCCTCTACCACTTGACCTTTTTATCTGCGGATAGCCCGCGGGCAAGCTTATTTCTTCTGCTGGATTTTCTACCCACATCAAGCATGAACTAAGTCAACTTGGGCATTTAAACAAGTACCAGAATACGTCCTCTGGTTCTGTTTTGCATTAAAATCACTCCAAATGCCGAAGTCCCAGAGTAGGGAGCATGTTAGAAGCTTAAACACGAGCCCTGAGTCACACAGTGTGGCGGCAGGCACTGCAGAGAGACTTCCCTGCCAGGAGGGGCTGAGCTCAGGTCCACGTTGGTGAATCTACGTGAATCTTGTTTTTCTCTGTCTGCACCCAGGCGTAGGCCACCTCTGTTGAGCTGTCAGAGTGCAACCATTCAGCAGAACACAGAGCTGTGTTAGTGTTTTTGTTCAAAAGTATGATTTTCTCTGGTTATTTTTTTATAGTATAAATGACTTAGAAATATAAAAGACAAAAGCTGGGATACTTTTGGGTTGTAACGTATTTTTTTAATTATTCGACTATCAGGCCCCTAAGGGACATTAAACACACACACACACACACACACAGAGCCATCTTTTGTATAAGTCATGTTAAAACTGAGAAGGGGGAAGGGGCCACTCTGCCAAGTCAACCCATCTGTGATATAAAATTTGTCACCTTCATAGATTTACCCTTCTCCCCTCAAAAGCAGCTCTGTGCTCCACAACACTCTAGATTTTGGAGTCTGTGCCTGATTCTGTCTCCCTTCCCTCCTCTCATCTCCAGGTAAATCTGGTCTCTGAGCACATCTGGTGTGAGGACTTCCTGGTGAGGAGCTTTTACCTGAAGAACCTGCAAACCAGCCAGACGCGCACCGTGACCCAGTTCCACTTCCTGAGCTGGTATGACCAGGGAGTCCCCTCCTCGGCGAGATCACTCCTGGATTTCCGCAGGTATGACAAAGAGCCCGCTGGCAGGTCACGCCTGCAGCGTGCGGACGTCGCATAGGAGGCAGCATGGCTTGGCACCAGATTTCCCAGTTTCTAAGATGCCGCTGGCCGTAAGAGGCACCACCTGTGTTGGAATCGGGAAGGGACGGAAGGAAGGGGGCAGGACTGTGTGAGCTGTGCATGGTAACTGCAAGACGTTCTCCAGTTCTAGAAGTGTTGACATGTGAGGAGGAGCGAACAGGCATCTTAGAACTGTGGAAATGTGGTCATGACTCTTTATAAGATTCCCCAGCTGATGAAGAGTCCTAAAGTTTGTATTTCACAGGATATTGATGAGTAAAGCCCAGATTTTCCGTGTGGATGCTCATCTGTTTGCACACGGTGATGAGATGGAACAAGTGTGGGCCCAGATTCCGACATGGATAATCCTGGATGAGAGCCTGGATACAGTTAGCACAGGACCATGTATATTTTTAGTGTGATTTTGAAACTGACAGTTGTTTTTAATCCAGTTTTTTGTTTAGGGCTCTAGCTAGCCAGTCACCCAGTAAGCTGTCTTGTTTCCAAGTGTATTTATTGAACTGTTGAGATGAATGGTAGACTCTGTCTTACAGGAAGGTGTTGACAAGGGAGGAAAAGGCAGGATTTAAGACTGAAGCTTTCATTGCACGTCTCACGTGGTGGTGACAGTTGGGTCGCACTGGCTGTTTCTGGTGGTGGATGAATTGACAACCACAGAGGAAATGAAGTTGTCAGGCAGCACAGCCAAGTGCGTGGTTTTATAGAAACTCACGTTCAACTGATTGGAAATCTACCTACTAAAGAAAACATAATACTTAAATGAAGAATTAGAGAATATGGACAAAGTGGATTTCAATCCAGTGTCACACGTGATCCGAACAATTATCCTCCTCGAGTCCACAGTTATGTAATTCCAAGGAGGTTGAAAGGCAAGGATTGTCGTAAAGACGGAGTTGCGGACTGACCTCGGGATGTCTTGAATTTATATGATACAGAGTCTTAAGTTTATTATGATACTACTTTTTTTTTTTTTTTGCCTTTTAGTCTACTTTGAAAAACAAAATAAAACTTTTTTTTATTTGAATCCTTGTTTGGATCAGATAGCATGTGAAAGAGCTTCTCCAAGGAGACATGCATCTGGTGTCATCTCTAAACACACATTCATTGACTCTGGTCCTACTCTGTCATCGGAGGGTGGACCTGGAATCCTGAACACGTCACAGAACAGCTGCTAGACACAATTCCTTCCTAACCCATTCAGATTATCCTAGCCATTATATACATTTTCTGAATACAAACATATTTCTAAAGACATGCTACATAAGTCTTACACAATTAGAGTAATTGTGAAATAGAGTCTTCAGAAAACAGTCATTCCTGGCAAAATGGATGTGGCGACAAAGGGAGCAGTTCATCGTAGCAGCCCGTGCTGACGCTCAGCCACTGTGCTTGTACACACGTGCATGTGGCAAGCTTCTATATCCAAATCCATATATGGAATAGAACAGACACATAACCAGCCCTCTGTGTTTATTATCCATCATGAAGAAAAACCGGATTCCCAAAACTCCCTTGCTCCAGGGTCTGAGGAGATATGGCCTGAGAAAGTTTTTATTGAATTAAAAAGAGAGTGGACCCCCAGACATCGTTCTGAGCGTGTCGTCAGAGCAGACGCGTTACCGCACCTGCCTTGTCTGGTGCTGCCCAGTATTGCAGCCAAGGCTGCCTTTCTTGCGGTCCCCGGACAGTTGTATAAGTGAGCCCATTCTCAGACGGCTTCAGGCTGAGACTCGAACTGCTGGTAGGTGATCATCTATGTGAAACAGCCACCCACATGTCAGCGGCTGATGGGAAGGTGGGACGGCTTCTGAAGACCCCGGCCACGTGAACTCTGCAGGGTCTCCTCTTTGAACAAAGGCCGGGCTTCCTCTCTCTGGCCTGGTGTGTTGGCCAGGCACCGAGATGCGTGATTAAATATTTCTGGAGCCCAAAGGGAGCATCTTTACACTTTAGAGGGAAATGCTAAGAGACAATTAGCATCACACATGAGGGCTTTCCAGCACCTCTCTCTCTGTCTGTCTATACACCTGATTTGCTCTCTTCCTGCTGCTGCTCGGGCACTCACTCACGCTGCTCACTGTAAAGTCGGACAAACCCTTACTTTGCCAGCTAATTAGCGGTGGCCAGTGTCATTTTTGTGATGTTGCAGCTAGTAATATGAGCCCAGTTGCATAGTCACAAAAGTGATCATTGGAAACTGTGACTGTACTGCAGGGACAATTTGGGAAGCCCCTTTTCTGAGCGTCTAACGACCTCTGACCTTTGCTTGCTGTCGGTTTGCGTGACGTTCGTGCTCACTCGGTGACCGTGGGTTGGTTTGTATTGCTAATCATTCTTTCTCCGTGTATTCCTCCTGTCCAAGTATATATAACATCAATTTTTCTTAATGTGGGAGACCTTTCACTTACTGATGATTTGTTCTAATTGAGTAAACGAGACGCTGTGCACCTGCTCGCCTCTGTGAATAACCCACACTCTGTATCTCAGGTCAACCAGATGAACGCGCTGGTCCCATATGTGGTGGTTTTGCTTTTCTATCTGTGATGTTTCACACTGTGATAATACAAGTGCATGACTCTTTGTAAATAAAGTTCTAAACATTCCCGCCACGTTGTATTTACACTGCACGTCTCCTTGATTGCTCGTGGTTGTTTGTAAACAGATGTAGCACAGGGTGGGGGCTGGTGGGGATATTAAAATTACAGCAAAACCTTCCTAAGGTCTGCCAAGGCAGCCAGTCACAACATGTTGGAGAAAATATCTTAAATATACCATAAAATAAAGACAGCAATTACAGGACTGGGGGAAATGCTGCAGTCACAGAAGCCAGCAGGTCACTTTTAAGTAACATTTCTTAGACAGAGAGGTCTTTATTGCGTTTTGCCAAAGAGGGAGCTGACCCGCAGTAAATGGGACCCTACTGTTCTATGATCCCTTACAGCTAAGTTTTCTTAAACCAATATAGTTTTTAAAAGGTTACCTGCTTGTTACGTTTATTTTTTTAATGTACCATTTTTTGTGCTTGGTTCTGTTAGAAAAAAATTAGCAAAACCTGGTGCCCAACCAGGATGCGAACATACAATAGTAGAATTTAGTCTTTACAAACACAGACTGGACTGTCAAGTATGAGTTTAACAGAGAGCTGGAGTTCAGGACTGAGGCCACTCACGTTAGCAAGATTCAGTGACCAAGAAATTTCCAGTAGAATCTTCTATTTGAAGGTGAAAGGCCTGTAAAAGTAAAGCCACCCAAAATTTGGTCCAACAGTTGAGCATGCTTGATTCCACACATGCACGTACACACGCATGTACACGAACACACATGTGCACTTATATGCACGCATGCTCCCCCTTGTACACACACATGCACACGCATGCTCACACAGCCTCTGTTGAGCTGGGGGCGGCACACTCCACAGACACCAGGCATGTTCGTGGGGCCTAGTATCTACCTTGCTGGAGCTGGAGCTCATTGACACCTTTACAGCCTGAGTCAGGAACAGGAGATTTTAGAAGCAGAAATAGGTGGATCTGTCTTTCAATCTGCTTGTTCTCCAGAGACCGAGAACTTTTAAGGCATTCTAGCGTATGAGTGCTGTTCATTTTATGGAGTTCATTTTTACTTTTTCCACCTTTCCCTCAAAGCCTTAATGTTGCAGGGTTTACCAAAAGCCATCAAAGGCTCTTGCAGAAGCCACGTGGCCACGCGGGCACTCACTTCTTCTATGCATTTTCCTGAGCTGCTCCATTTCAGAGCATCTCTGGCTGGTCCACAAGCTCCAAGATGCTGCATATTTTCACAGCAGCCACAGAGACTGTCACCCTGAACGGGGCTTTATATGTGAGCTGTCTGTAGGGCTCTGCACCTTGCGCCTTCAGTTTCCGTTATGCTGGCCTGGCATCAGGTTCAGACCTACGTCAGAGGTGCCCCATTCTGCTAACTCCATGGAAGAAGCAGGGAAAAGCCTCTGACGTTTGGGGTGCCTGCTGTGAAAGTGTCTACTTGGCCCAGCGTCACTGGGATGCCCGCCCGCCCTGTCCTCTGGCTTTGGCGGCATGCAGCAGAGCAACCAGTTGACTGAATTTTCACATTCAGCTGACTGTTTCGGTGCTGAACAGGCAAGCCTTTGCAAAGAAACATGACGTTTTCCCCTTTCTGGCCCAAGGAAGTTTTTTCTGTACTGTCACTTTTTAAAACTTTTACCTTGTGTCTTCTGTTGTAGGGGTTCATACAGCACATTTTAGGACACACCCTTCACACGTATTTTTCCTTCTAATAAGCCGAGATCCTGTCTTTAATTTTCTTTATTCAGAAATACTTTACTGAGAACTTTGATGTACTCTGTAAACATGATTAGTTGTTTCACTGAATTAAAAAAATGTTGGCAGTTACACCATGAATTTTACATTAGCCCTCTGTTTTAATTCAGGGGGTGATTACAAAATCTTAAATATATGCTCATTGTTAATTTTCATAACTTCTGGTCTAAAATATGCACAATGGAATTGCTTTTAAGCACACTCAAATGTATAAAAATGGAAAGGACTTGTCTTGGGCTTAATGAGGTTTCTCCGTAATTTAAATATCGTTACCAAAAACTGACAGATCAGAAAAGATCTTTAAGATGCTTCTCTTAGGTAATGGTAATATTATATTCCAAGATGAGGTCTAGACTGTAAGAAGTTTTGAGCATAAGATCTAAAACTCCAAAATTTCAGTGAAGAATCAAGACACTCATATCACAACAAAAGGTCAAATCAACTGAAGCGGAAAGAGAAAGGGGAGGGGATGGTGGGGAGGGGTCCCCCGGGGTGGCGGGGGCTGGGGGCTGTGGACCCCGTGGCTGGGAGCCTGGGGTTCGTGCCCGCAAAGGAAACAAAACACCGTGAAAGTGTAAGGGTGGTTTTTAAAGCTCTGTTTAATAATTTTACATTTGAAAAGGAAAATAAATCTTTGAAATTGTGTGTGTAATTTCTATTTTCTTTGTCTAAACAGGCTATTGCGAAATGATTTCAAAGATACAGACTTTTTGCTTTGGCTTATCGGTTACTTTGGAAGACATGGAGTCGTAGTGCATAACTACAATTTTTATGTCTCTTTTTATTCCAGAAAAGTTAACAAGTGCTACAGGGGCCGCTCTTGTCCGATAATCGTTCACTGCAGGTGAGTACAGCTTGTAACGTGGGTCGAGAGGCTTCTGCTGCCTCAGAAAATAAACTACACCATCAAATACAGAAGGTGGACGTCCTAATTGCTTAATAAGTATCTCTAACTGGTATTTCTAAAGGAAACCAAAGATACAAACTTAATTTTTATGCCATTTGGCTAAACAACGTTGTACATTTATTCCTTGTACTGGACAGACAGCACGTGGCGTGTTTTCCTCCTGGCGGCCACTGTGCTGTGTGTTAGAATCTATGTCCAAATGTTCGTGTCCTCCAACCTTATTCTTCCCTAAACCCTCACGGCGCCACTGCACAGGAACTTTGAGATGATACTCTGACCCCCTGCATCATCTCAGCCACCAGTACCTTTCGCAGGAATCTGGGACCCCGTGCAGGTCGTGGGAAAAACTTGAGGCCAGTTATAGACAGGGACAAAATCTGTGATCACCAGAGGCATGGTCACCCCCAGTCCAGTCTTTGGGTAAAAATGCAATGACTCATAGCCTTAAGTAGGTTAAAACCACGCCAGTAAGAATAGATTCACTCAAAGAACGCTCAGGGTAGTGGTACTGTTTCTCCTGGTCCTGATATTCAACTATTTTTGGTAAAACACTCATACTCCACTTTTATAGAACGTTCCTTTCTGCCTGGAGTAAAAAGGAAATCTGTCTCCAGAGATGAAACACCAAGTCTGTCGACTCAGTCAAGAAGCACGTGTGTGCGTGTGCGTGTGCGTGTGCATGCATGTGCGTGTGTGCGTGTGTTTCTGTATGTGAGAGAGGAAGAACGTAGGCATGGTCTGTTAGCCTCAAAGCGTGGCGTAGGACGTCTTTTACCTATAAATGTGCCCAGACGAGCTACGCCGCTAGCTGGGAGATTTCTGTAGTGTGTCTCACAATGCTGATGTGAGTGCATGCCGTGCACAGAAGGGGCGGGGGGAAGCACGGCCACGGGCGTGGTGGCATGGTCGTTTGCAGTGGCGGCGAGGATCGATGGTGAGCAGGTTCCAGTCCTCGACAGTGTGGGACGATGTGTGTCTGCAGAAGCACAGTGGAAAGTGGCTGCCTTTCCCGAGGGCAGCTTTTCTCCACTGTTTGAGGACACACGGTAAAGTCAAACCCCAGATTCTCTGCTGTATAAAGATCCCCTTAGGCTTACCCGTGACTTCTCGGGGTTCAGGCCGCAGGCAGATCAGCAGCTGAGAAGCGCAGCGCTTTGTCAGTGAGTCACAGGATTCTTCAAGTCTTGAAATGGAAACGTCTATTTTTTTCCTTGAAGTCACAAGGGTGTTGCCAGGAGTTTAAAGGCAAAAAGCCCTGCACCTGAAGGCCAGCCCGCCCGCCCTGCGTGGTTCAGAGGCGCTCCTGTGACTCGGGGACAGCATCGTCAGGGAAAGAAATGTCTCACACGGTCCCTACCAGAACAGGAGGACGCTGGGGCCGCTGTGCTCCCAGAAAAGGGATTTTCTTTCCTTTCTCTTCTTTTCTTTTCTATCTGCTGCTGTTGAGACGTAATTCAAAACACTTCACGACTCCAGTCCAGATGGCAAATATTGTGATCATAGCTGGTGGGATGAGTAGGGGACAGACGACGGCGCTTCTCCAAGAACAGGACTGAGTCGCACACGCCGCTGCGTCCACTGGAGAGGGGCGCCGACTGCGGGGCGGCGCTGCCCTGCCCGGTGCCCCCGGACCTTTGAACAGAGCATGTGGCCCTCACGCAGCCGCGTTCCTTCATTTCATTTCTTCCTGACAAAATGCGCCATGTCTTTAGCCAAAGGCGGGAGGAAAGAGCAGGTGGAGGCAGCTCAGGGTCTCATCCCGCTGCCTGGGGCTCAACGCCCCTGCCC